GTGTTTCAATGTTCTCTCCTGTGAGTTTTCCATTGATTATTCGGAAGTTGTTCTGTATTTTAGATGGAATATCAGTTTGTTCCTGGGAGCATGTCCCTCAGCATCCACTGATTCTGCCAACATTCTTTTAAATATATTCTTATTTATTTCAGAGAGGAAGAAAGAGGGAGAGAGAGTTAAAAACATCAATGATGAGAGAATCATTGATTGCTTGCCTTCTGCACACCCCACACTGGGGATCGAGCCCCCAACCTGGGCATGTGCCCTGCCTGGGAATTGAACCCTGACCTTCTGGTTCATTGGTTGATGCTCAACCACTGAGCCCCGCCGGCCGGGCTGATAGCTAAATCTCTTATCAATGCTGAGAGATGGTGAAAGCCTTCAGCCTGGTGGATGCCTTACGATTTTTTTAAAATATCTTTTATTGATTTTTTACAGGAGGAAGGGAGAGGGATAGAGAGTTAGAAACATCGATGAGAGAGAAACACCGATCAGCTGCCTCCTGCACATCTCCTACTGGGGATGTGCCCATAACCCAGGTAAATGCCCTTGACCGGAATCGAATCTGGGACCTTTCAGTCCGCAGGCCGACGCTCTATCCACTGAGCCAAACCGGTCAGGGCTGTCTGCCTTATTTTACTGGAAATTCCATCGGCATTTTCCAGGTCATGGTGGCTACTGGGCCTGTAGGAAACAGGGCGTGTGTTGGCATTCACAGGGGACCTGTCCGCGGGAGGGGCGCTCCCTCCTGCCCCCCAGAGCCTGTGAGGCCCGGAGGAACAAGACCCGAGCCCCCCACCCTCACCCTCACGTGTGGTCGCCGTGGCGGTGAGTTCCTCTCAGGGTCACAGGGAAACGTCTGCCAGGCCCCGTGCCAGCCGACACCTCGGGGTGAGGGCGTGGGGCCTGCGCAGGCGGGGCTGGGACCGGCTCCCTGGCCTGGAGCCACTTCTCCGAGTCCCATGACAGCTGAGCCGCCGTGGTCCCAGCCTCGCGGAGGCCGCAGCCCGCTGTCCGCTGGAGGTTGGGACACACTTCCTGCCCCCCCTTTGGCAACGCCGAGCGCGCGTGTACCCTGTGGTTGTCCCGGAGGCAGGAGTTGCTCAAGGAAGACCGGTGTCCGTTTGCACAATCCGCGCTGCGCCCACCGCCCAGCCCCCTCTTCCCTCCGCCCCTGTCGCCGTGGGTGAGACGGGCGGCTGATAAAAGGCGGGAGGCACAGAGTTGTCACCAGCTGCCTGTTGCCAAGCCGACGCCATGGCAGGTTCCGTGGCCTGGACAGGTGAGTGGGCATCGTCGGAGCTGGGGAGGTGCCTGGGACAGCGCACTGGGGGCCCTGCGAGCGGGGCCACCCTTCCCACTGCCCCTTTGCCTGCGGGACCCCATCCCCATCCTTCGGTTCCCGGGGTATCAGCCCGAGACCGTCTGTCACAAGGACAGTTTCCTCAACCGGCTGAGACGAGCCCTTCTCCTGTCCCCAAAGCCGCTCAGAGCGGCCC